AGCAGTGTGCCAAGGCGAGAGTGCGTGCTCTGTGGATCCTGCAGTAGTAATACTCCTGCATGGAGAATGCTCTTGGTCGCTGCCTCCCTTTCAACTTCTTTTTAGCCTGGGATTTGGAGTCCAGTGAACCTAGCACAGAAAGCCCTGGCACTGGACACTCAGCTCTCATCCCCTGCCCTTTTCTTCTACTGTTGTTGCTTTTATGTTGTTCCGGTTGAGGCACCCTAAGGAAAGCTAAGCTTTTTGGATCCAGGACTAAGGCCTGGGAAAATTTTATGTGTCTCTGCTTGGTCTCAGAGCATCAGATCACTAGGAAACCCACTTCTGAATGCTACTCGGACTCTTCAAGTTGTCTAAATAGGTCAGGGGTGGGGGTGGGGGGAAGCGGTCCTCTCTGATGATCAGGAAAAACTGAATCATCTGGAATGCTTCTGAGGTGAGTCCTACTTTTGCTGGGTTTTAGCATCTTTTGTTTTTTAACCCTTTACTAATCCAAGTGGAGGTGGTAAGGCAAAAATTGATATATATTGTTTTATCTACATCTGTTTTTTCTTCAGGCTGACAATGCCTCCTGTTGTTATTCAAGCAGCTATTAGTTAGGACAGAAACTTCACAGTATAATTGAGTTTATTTTTGAATTTCCCTTTCATGTAGATGTCTGTTGTTTCTGACACTAAAACATCAGTACCAGCCCTCAGTCAGAGTGTGTCTTTCATTCCTTACTCAGCTGGGCTGTCTTTTGTTATTTTGTTGGTTTTCCTCCATGCTAGAAACACTTGGTTTGTTTCAGTCCTGTTACATTTTACACCTGCTGACTCACATAGCACATGCAGCTGTTCTGGAAATAATTGTTCGGTAAGAGCATCCTTTCTGTTGAGTTAGTGAATTAATTTGATTCAGCATCCTGATCATGATTCACTACCTGTGTTTTCTAACCAGTTTTGTGCTGCTGCTTTTTGCTGACTGATGTACTCTGACCGTTAAAAACTCAGAGCCTTTCATGCAAACCCTCTGTGTCGGTGCTGCTTTGGATCAATTCGGTTGCTACTAACTGATGTGGTGCTACCAGTGAGTTGTCATCTGATGTGATTGTGTGTACTGAAATAACATTGTTATGCCTGTGAAATACCTTAGTAAAGGCAATAATATATCATATAAACAAGTTAGCAGTGAACAGTAGGGTGCATCAGATAAGTAACAGTAAAAAAAAATAAACCAGTGGACAACCTGAAAAGTAGTCTTGCATTTTTTTGTCCTTGAGATTACAACAAAAAGTCTTACTAGACCTAAGTTAGTTGATGAAATTGTGCAAAATATATTAATTACCTGTTGCTTCTCCAGCCTTGTGATGGAGTCATGTCAGTGCCTCTGTGAGGTGTAACCTCTGTGGGATAGGAAAGATGGTTCCTTTCTGTTGAGAGCCTGTGCAGGAGATGGCAAAGAAAATAAAAAAGATGTGACAGAGCAGGGACTTGTGTGAGGAGCAGAGTCTAGGGGATTTCAAAGAACAGGGAACAGATACAGAAACAGAACTTAGAAAGAATAAGTCTTTTCCTAGGGACCCAGAGGGACTGGGCAGTCTGCTCCAAACCAGAAGGCTGCTGAAACTTGTTAGACAAGTGGCAAGACTGGAAGGAGGGACCTACCCTGTGAGGTACTGGGGAGGTTTTGTTTGATTCCAATGCTAAATGAAATTATTTTTGTTGTTTCTTACCCAGCATACCTCAGGGCTTTTTTCTTCTTTCAAAACTTGGTTTGGAATGTAATAAGATGCAGCTTTAGAAATTCAAACACTTTTGGTATGCGGAGTTTAAAGGAGGAGAGCTAGGCAGAGTTGGCTCTATTCATCTCCACAATCATAAGCCCCACTAGTTTCTTCACTAACTTCCAGCTGAAACTTTCTCCACTGCTATGTCACTCTGCTGGAAATCCTGTTCAGATCATCTGCTCTGGACATCTCTGAATTTAATAACCTTTCTGATTTGTTCCCAGTTTGTCCATTGCTTCTGCAGTCCATTTCTGTTGTCCTAATCACATTGTGCTTTTGTAGATCTGTGGGCTTTGTTGGTTAGTTGTTTTTTGGTTTATTATTTGTTTATTTTACACTGCATTAAATTTTTGTACTTACTTGTATTTCTTCACATAGTGTCTTTCATAAATGCCTCTGTTTTCTTTCCTCTTTTCCTTTCCCCTAGTTATCTTTGCTGCCTCCAGTTTCCTCTACTTTGACTTAGGAATTTTCTTCTTTAATCCTCCAAAACTGATGAATTATCCTGTCTTCTTTTTATGGGTAATGGGAAAAATAAAAGGTTTGTCACTTGTATTTACTTGTGAAAATTTAAACGAAAATGAGAGGAAGCCTTGGCAAAGGGGGCAAGCTTACGTGTTTCCAGTACTGAAAGTAGCTGAAAACACTTATGCTAGTCAGGGTGGCTCATGTTCAAAACCACTGTTTCATGGAGATGAAAAGGTACTTAATATATTCTCCAATTCAGTTGAATTTTTTTTCTTGTATTCCAATGCTTGGAGGCTCCAGCAAATTTGGGAAAATGAGTCCAATAATCATTTCCTATCTTGGTTCTCTGAAGTTTAAGGTGCTGAATTGGTGCTTTTGTTCAGGAGATGGGGACAACTCCAGGGAGATGGAGAGATTTGAAAAGAAAATATTTCTATGTAAGATACATTTAAATACAGAAATTTTGTTTCATGTATGTTTTAAGTCTGTGTTAGAAGTTCAGGAGAGCTACATTGAACCATGGAGCGTAACTCAAAAGTCACTGCGCAATTTAGTTTTAAATGCAACACCCTGTGAGCCTGGTTTCTGAAGGCTGACTCTAATTTTTGTGATAAAGCTTTTATAGAAGATGATTGCATTTGGCCTAAAACTAAGGACAGTGGGATTTCTGTCAGTCTACTGATACTCTGCTTTCCTGTTACATACATCAAAGCCCTGTCACACTTACAGCACATGCATGTGATTTATGTTGGATTTCAGAACTTAAACATGAAAATATTTTGAGCAGGTGACCTGTAAGGAGTGACCTGTAAGGAATGCCCTGACACTAGAGGAATGCTCTCTGTGTTCCATTGATATAGATCTGTTACTCAAGGATCTGTAGTGAATAAAACCCGGGTTGCTGCTGGGAGTCACATAGTGCTGGACTTGGACAATTGGCAGTACTCTGATAATACTGTTTTGTTTAAACCTACATGTCCTAGAATTCTATGTATTGTATTTATTATGATTGAGAAGATGATTTAAAAAGCATATTGTAAGTGCCTCCTAAAAACAGGACCAAAGAAAAGCATCCCTACTCCAGACTTTGATATGTGACCACATCAGTCTTGGGAACACACTCATGATTCATTGATATTTGGGTTGGGCAACTTGATTCAGATGAAATATATAGGTAGAGCAGAGCCCTGACTAGATTGTAGCCATTGAATCTACATGGGATTTTTAGAAAACAAAATAAAAATGCTGGCAATAGCTCAAGTGCTCATTCTAGGATCTCTGACAATTTTCCCTGCGTTTACATTTTGTCCTACAGGCTTTCTAAGAAGATTACGGCGTAACATATATAACGATTCTGTATCACTGACATGGTGGTTTATATTATGGGCTACTCAGGATGTATATAACGTTCTTGCTCACTGATATTAATTCTCCTTTCACGATTTTATTTAGTACTTCAAAACCTGAGATAGTTTAGCTCAACCCTGTAGGTAACAGCTGTTTGTACTGGGATTTTGTTCTTCACAGATGTGATTGTAACAGTAAGACTTTTTTATCTGTATAAAACTGCTTTGTACTATTTTTAGCTTATTCCGCTCTGCGTAAGCAAATAAGTTATATTTAACTGCCACTCAGGTAATGTGGCTTCTCAAAGTACATAAAGTGACAACCTTTTGTGATGTAATAAATCATGCTTTAGTCAGAATCAGGTTACTTTTGAATTCCCAGAGAAAGAGTTCATGGAATGCTGTGAAAATATCATATAATTAGCAGGGTCTTTTTTTCCTACTATTAGATACGTGTAATTTTCTAATTAAAAACAAGTGCTTGGAGAATGCCAGGATATCTGTGTATTTTAACTTATCAGGATTGTTTTGAAAATAACATAAAACATCTCAACATTTTTTTCATTATTATTTTTTGAGACTGACAAGCACCATTTCATCACCTGCGCTAGACTGACTACTTTATCTCTGGATATTAGCCTGCATTCTGTGATCACGGGTCATAGCGATATGATGAAGTGGGAGCTTGCAAGCAAATCTTTTAGAAGATTCTGTGTAGGCGAGTTTCATGAGCAGCTCGCAGAGACGTGGAACCACACTAAATCCTCTCACTGCATGTTTTGTTACAAAATGCTGTCCAATATTATCTGCTTTCTTAAAGGCTTTTAAAATCTCTGAGAGAGCAAGTTCTCTCTGATGTATAAGATAAAGGAACCTGAAGTATTTTGCATTTGCATTCTAGCTGTTCTGTGAATAGAAAGATAAAGTTTCTCCCTCTTGTGCTATAACACTGACAGTCATGTCTTTCTATCATTGCTGCTAATTATTAATTGTTCATACAACTGTACAGATGTGAATTATTACTGCCTCATTATTTTATTTTAAATTCTGTGGGATTCATCTTGAATTGCCAGTTTCTGGAGCCATTTGTCTGGAATCCGAGCAAGGGAAGTCCTGGAGTTGACTGCCTTGTATGATAAAGTGGCTGGATTTGAGGGTGAGAGGAGAGCAGTGGATACCTTTTAGCTCAAGGTTAGCAGGTTTTTGACGCTGTTTCCCACAGCATTGCTATATTGAAGTTAGGACATTACAGTCTGGATGGGTGGACAACTAGATGGGCAAATAACTGTTTTGATGGTCAAGCTCAGAGGGTATGGTTAATGGATAGCTTTCTAGCTGGCAGCTGGTAACTAGTGCTGTACCTCAGGGGTCTATATCCATTTCAAGTCTTTATCAGTGAGGCAACATCAGGTTTGCAGATGACACCAGCTGGGGGACTGGTTGATGTCTTCAAGAGCAGAGCTGCTGTTTGGGGGAACCTAGACAGAGCGAGGGAACTGACCAACAGGAACCTGGTAAAATTGAACGAGGACGAACACTGGAGTTCTGCACCTGTAACGGAGGAGCCCCCTGCAGTGATACAGGCTGAGGGGCAGCTTGGCAAAAAACGACCTGGAGGTCTTGGTTGCTGGCAAGCTGCACGTGAGCCAGCCACATGCCCTGACAGCTAGGAAAGCCAGCAATATGCCGAGTTGTATCAACAGGACCATAGCCCAGAGGTTGAGGGAAGTGATTTATAGCCCTCTACTCATCAGTCATTAGACATCTGTACTACCGTGTCTAATATCTATACTCCACCCCCCTGGTCCAAGGAAGACAGCTGTAAATTGGATTGTGTTCAGGGGAAGGCTACAAAGGGTGTCGGGAGCTGGAGCCCAAGTGCCATGAGGAGACGCTGAGGGAGTGGGGCTTGTTCAGGCTGGAAATGGGGAGGCTTTGAGGGGATCTAACAGCAACCTTCCAGTGCCAGTAAGAAGGTTACAAGGAGTCCAAGGTGGGCTCTTGACAGTGCTGCGTGGCAGGAGGACAAAGGAAACTGGGTATAAGTTGAAACGAGAGAGGTTCAGAGTGGATGTAGGCCCCATGCAGACAGTCAAATGTGGGAACAGTTTGCCCAGAGAGGGGGTGCAGCCTCCATCCTTGGTGTTTTAAAGACCAAGCTGACTAAAGCCCTCAGCAATCTAGTCCAATCTTATAGCTGATGCTGCTTTGAGCAGGAGGCTGGACAAGAGCTTTCCTGAGGTCTTTTCCAATTATGATTTAAAGTAAACTAAAATATAAGTTTAAAAAAAAAAAAAGATTTCTATCTTTGTCCATTTGCTATATACTTTCAAGGTGTTTATAAACGGTACGTTTTTGTTGAGAGAGGAGTGGTTGTAAAATGCTTTATGCAAAGAACCTCTCTTTCCTTGCTGATGCTTTAAGTAAGAGTAATTTCTCTATTTAAGTCTATATTTTAAGTGCACAGGAAGATGGTTTCCAGGTTATCAATCTGATCACATACAGATGTGACCAGAATGTCCTTTTGCTATTTGGCAGGCAAAAATTGGGACTTGACAGCAGCTTTGAATGACTATGAGCAGCTCCGACAGGTACACACCGCCAACTTGCCACAGGTGTTCAATGAGGGCAAATACTGCAAGCAGCAGGAGCCAGAGCAGCCTCCCCAGGTGACGAAGGCTGAGCGGCCCTGCCTGCAAAGGCAGGATGACATCGCTCAAGGTAAGAGCTCTTCTCCTGGGGTTTTGTGGACAAGCAGCTTTCTAGTTTGTCTGCTTGTGAGTTGTGCTTCTTTGCAGGGAGTTGGAAGTCATTTGCTGTCAGCCTGTGAACCGTGTCGTCATGATGGGATTCACTGAGCTGCTGCTGGACCCTACGTTTCACATATTGCAGTTGTCATGAGCTTTGCCTCAGTTATGCAAGTTATTTTTTAAATGTGTGATTAAAGTGGAAAAATGTGTTGTCCCTGAGCAGTCCTGTGGTACATATAAAAGGAATTAGAGGATCTCACAGACTGCTGTTGTATGTAGTTTTCTGTGCTTACTGAGACCAAAAAAAAAAAGGTTAAAAAAAATAAAATCCGTATTTCAGTCTTTGCATTCTTACTCACGGTATGTGATTTAGGTGTATGAAGTCAGTGAATAACTTTCAGCTGTAAAATTTTATTCTTTCATGGTTCCACAGGAGAAAGGACAACTCTCTATCCCCTCCCAAATAGAAATGGAAACCCTGAGAAAAATGAGTCAGCTATCTCCAGCAGTTGATTTCCAGTATAGGATGATAAACATTAGAATTTACTTTTTTGTTTGCAGACCTCTTGGTGGTTTTATTTCAGATCTCTATCTCTCTCAGACTGTTGGAATGCATTTTTTAAATATTAATTTATCAAGGAACTGTAGTTTGCACCAAAATAAATCTACAGGTCTGACAGCTTGTCATGTTGGGAGGTAATAGCACTAGCTTGGTAATGATGGCTTTCTGTGGACTCATTAGAAGGAGCAGAAAGTCTTCCCTTCTCCTGCCGGCACTTCCCTCCTATGAAGCAGGAAATGGTATCAGTACTTAGGAGTGTCAGTAAAGCTTTTAAAAATTGATGACTCCCATCAGTAGAAAAGGAACTGTAGCACTTCTTATAAAAGCACTGAATACAAATAAAGGGAGGAAGAGTATCACACTGGTTGATAAAACTGTGTCCCTTCATCCTCATTAGGATATAGCTCACTAACGTTCTATGTTGTTAAACTGTCCTGTTTACACTGAAATGGCCATTTGCTATTTTAGGGAGTGTGGTGGGTAGCGTGGGGTAAGTCTGGCTGTAAATGCCTGGACTGACAGTAACTTCGCCACCAGTTCAGTGCATCACTTGCGACTTTGTGATCAGAGAGCCATCTGACTGAAGCGTGAAACTGGGGTGAGGAGGATGCTCAGGGAGGAGCAGAGAGGGGAAAAGGGTCTTGTCATGGACCAGGTACTTGGAGTGGAGGATACAGCCAACAGGTGAGGGCTGGACCGTAGTGGGAAGGGACAATGTGGTGGTAGCAAGGGGATGTCAAACGGAGATGCTATCCTATACTTCAGTTCCCCTGTTTAGAGGTGATTTAGCTGAGATGTACAGGAAGAAGAAAGAAATGGAAATGTAATTAAACCTTCTACCCTTCCCCCAGTTTAGGATATTTTAGGGAGAGCAATTTAGCTCTTAAAATTAGGAAAACTTTTGTACATTAGAGAAATAAAAGTTCACAAACTCCAGGAAAAGGCACAGAGGTACAGAAACTTATTTTAATATAGCTTTGTACGTGTTTGAGAGTTGATCACTAAAGACTAGTTTATGGTAGGATTCATGAAGCTACAGAGGGGAAGTTGCACCAGATAGTTTCTTACAAAAACTTCTGGTACGATAAGGTACCCATTTGTCCACAGCAAAATTCACTGAATTATAAGATACTAGCTATAGTTGTTTTGATAAAATAATGCATTCTTTTGTACCAGGCTTGTTAATGTCGTCATTCTTTTTGAACTGTGTATTCTTTCTTGGGTCAGGATTTTAAAAAACACATATTGCATAAAAACTGAGTTGAATTCAGTATAATGACATTAAAATTGCTTTCAGGTAGATTATTCTGAGATTAAAACAGTATGGCACATTCGATATGAAGTGATTGTGGGATGCTGGATTTTTTGATTCACAGGAAGTCAAATTAAGAGTTCAAAATATTAATTGATTGTCATCTGCCTGCCAGTAAATGTTTCTTCTGATGCATCTTTGGAAACTTAGGATACATTAAAACAAATTTTATCAAAATACTTGTCTCTCGTATCTCATTACTTTTACTGTTTATCTATTTTGCTAGAAGCAGAGTGAAGTTCCTATGACTTGCCATAGGGATCCATAGTCAGAACTAAGCAATGTTTTATAGTAGAGAAATAACCCAAAAAAGGGAACAAACAAGGAGTGGAATAAATTCCTAAGTTAAATGAACGGTCTTTTGCCAGACTTGGTGTTGACTGGTCTTTTACGTAGTCTTACAAGCTATAATATCTCGTTGGTTTCTCTACAGAAAAGCGTCTTTCCCGAGGTATTTCTCATGCCAGCTCAGCCATAGTCTCCCTTGCTCGATCTCATGTAGCAAATGAGTGCAGCAATGAACAGTTTCCTTTGGAGATGCCCATCTACACATTCCAGCTACCAGACCTTAGCGTGTACAGCGAAGATTTCAGAAGCTTCATTGAACGTGACTTAATTGAGCAGGCAACAATGGTTGCTTTGGAACAAGCAGGTGGGTAAATACTTCAGATGTCAGCAGCAGCTGGGCAATCTGACATTTTGGTTGACATTTCTCATCGTGCTTCATTTCTGGAGCTTGCGCATCCTGCATGGGAAATAAATGCCATAGAGTAATAGCAAATACTGTGCTCTGTGCAAGATGACACATACCCCAATCCTCTGCTTCTTTTAAAAAGTTAGAGAAAACTGTCACATTTGCTTAATAAAACGAAGAAGTTGAGGGGAGAAGGAAAGGAGGACTGATGGGGATGTCATGCAATAGAAAAGGACATGAGTCTGGATGGTCAGAGGGGTTGGTACTTCCAGTTCTCATGAGGAAATTGCATCTCTGACTAACAGAGAAAACATCACATCAACATGTATGATTCTAAGTTTTGTTGCAGCTTGAGAAAATAGTTTTTAAATATGTATTTTGTGTGTTGATTATTATTTTTGTAATAAGAAACCACGTAATTTTAAAGTAATACTTCATTATTGTCATGGGGGGAAAATTGAAGAAATTTAAAATTAATTTTAGTTGAGATTTATTAGGAGTTTAAAGTTTTAAGTCAGTTTTGATAAATGTGGAGAAATGTATTCAAAATCAGTGTCTGTGCCTTATGAAATATTAAATGTATTAATGAACCATGAAATGAACACACCTATATGGTGAAATGCCCAACTCTGGTCATACAAAGGAGTTACAAAATCAGATTTCATGGTTGCCTGTGGAATATCGAAGAGCCAGTTGCTTTTTTTCTGTTGATTGCTATACTGGCTTGTGTAAGGCTGTGTGTTTATCTGAGAGTTCTTTCTCAAAAGTCGGTGCATAGTCAGCGTGTGTGTGTTCAAACCAGTAAACTGTTGCTTGTTATTGATCAGGGCACCATTCCACGGTATTTAGGCAGGACCTATCATGTATTGTTATGTGCTCATTTTTGGCATTTGAAAAGCAAGACATACTTAGATAATAGCATCAAACAGTAAATCCGTAAGAAAAAACACCAGCACCCCCCAAGCAGTTTTCAGAAGGCCTCCTTCTGCAAGCAACAGCAGTATAAAATAATGCAGGAAT